TCTGTCATCACCAGAATCCAAGAATCCAACTTTGAACACATTGCGGATCTAACACTTCGAAAAGTCCTCCGGTGAAAGCTACCAGTCAATTCATCAAATGAAATGAATCTAGGAAAAGTATTCTGGAGCATATAAACCTCGGATCCTGTTTATCATGAACCGCATGCATGTCACATTGTCTATAATGACAAAAAATACAGAAAATGTAACACCCAAAACATTATTGTTTAATCTATTTTTTGCCATCTTGCTTTGTTTGATTTCATATTCGTGAATCTCCTTATGGTGTCAATCTTCTTCTCTTAAGCCTCGTTTAGTACAGATACAGATTATTAAATTAGAATGGATAGCTCTCTAAATCTAAATCATATTGACAGTCGAAGAGAATGATTTTTTATTTTGAGGTGATTAGACGTAAAGAGCACAATGAAACTCAAGCATGGCATACGCTACAAGGAGTACTATTAGTGCTATTTGGCCTAATTTTACAATCAAACACCTTGTTATCTGATTATGTGCATCTCTAACTTCCATTTGATGCTTTCACCTATTTTTTGTATTTTCTTCAATAAGAAATTTATTGAACAAATTTGGTGTCTCTGGCGTTACTTAATAAGTGAATCAACTTCTCAATACCCATTTATGAGAATGGAAAAATTAGTATCCAGTCTCTAGTTACTAATGTTCATTGACTGAAACCTTATTAGTTTTTAGATTTTGATCAAAGTTCCTAGCATTAATGTTATAATGAATTTACATGTCAGTTACATAATTTTTTAAAATAAAAATTAATAATTTATTTAGAATTTTAATACTCACACCTTTATTAAACTCCTAACTATTAATTTCAATTCAAAATATTTCCAAAATAAATAAAAAAAGAATAAGTTTGTACCCATTTTCTTTTAAAAAAAAATGTTTTCAATTTTTTAATTAAGCCATTCATGTAATTTTTTTTCAAATTTTTAATCTTAAAATGTGCTCATTCTTAAATATACCAATTTGTTATATGTAAAATGTACCCTTTTTTTAATATAAAATCTATTCAATTTTTTTCTAATCCATTTTTAAACTTAAATCAAAGAAAAAATAATTTACCCATATAAGTTTAAATAAAGATTTAAATAAAGAAGTTCATTAATGTTATTAAGCCTAATATCTTTTTTTTTTTGTAGTTTTGAAGAATGTACCCATGTTTTGGTACAATAATTTATTGGTTAATTTTGATGAATGTACCCATGTTTATATATATACACACACACGCAATAGTATATTTGTCACATCTCCGCCTGGGCCCCGATCACATCATCACGGTTTTGTTTATGGGAACTCACATGAGAACTTCCCAGTGGATCACCCATCTTGGGATTGCTCTCGTGCGCTACTCGCTTAACTTCGGAGTTTAGATGGAACCCGAAGCCAGTGAGCTCCCAAAAAACCTCGTCTTCCCAGTGGGTCACCTATCCTGAGATTGCTCTCGCGCAATACTCGCTTAACTTCGGAGTTCCGATGGAACCCGAAGCCAATGAGCTCCCAAAAGACCTCGTGCTAGGTAGAGATGAGAATATATATATATATATATATATATATAAGGCTTACAGGATCCAATCCCCTGAGCGATGTGGGATGTCACATGTCATATCCCGGCCCGGACGGGATCACTTCCCGGGCCCGACTCCACCGTAGCACGATATTGTCCGATTTGGGCCCCAACCACGCCCTCACGGTTTTGTTTTTTGGGAACTCACATGAGAACTTCCCGATGGGTCACCCATCTTGGGAATGCTCTCGCCCCCTTCTCGCTTAACTTCGGAGTTCCTACGGAACCCGAAGCCAGTGAGCTCCCAAAAGGCCTCGTGCTAGGTAGGGATGGGAATGTACATATAAGGATCACCCCCTGGGCGATGTGGGATGTCACATCACAATATTTATATTTTAATATTTTAATCCCACAAATTATTGTTTTTTATTTAAAATCTCATTAATATAAACAACTATAAATTTCAATTTTTAATTTAAGAAATATAGAAATAAATTACCACATTAATTTCAAGGACTTCGATAAAAAATTGAAAACCAACAAGGTTTCAGTCATAGATAAGGATGATGTGAAAATTAACTTGACACACAAATTAAACCCTAGTGTTAACAATTGTAGTATATATGTAAGTAGGAATCGTTCTAGACCGAAGATTAACTAGGGATGCTAATCAACACAAATAAGACTTAAAAACACTAAACTAGACTCTATAGACTCAAAACTGACTCAAAACACTCAAAACAGCAACAAACAATAAAAAAAAAACTCAATTCTAGACCTAACAAGTGATTCTTACGAAAATAAGACTTAACTTGACTCAAGAGACTAAAAGAAAACAGATTTTGACTCAAATAACAAGACTCAATGTAAGAGGGATTGTTTTTGACGAATTTAAAACTTAAAACAGAAACTTTGCATAAAAAACTTTATAAAAACGAATTTGGTAAATTGAAAAGGGTGAAAGGTTAGTTAAAGGGTCATTCTCCACACATGACATATGCATACAAACCAATTTCCAGTTATTATTCCTTTAGACTATGAATGACAATGCCCCAAATTAACCGTGAAAAGCACAAATTAATCTTCAGATTTTTCTTAACTCATTGAATTGGATGGAATATGCATCGCAACCAAACTTATCAAGTTCCCTAACTATGAAAAGCATTATAGAAAGACATATCAAAGGTCATTAAGTTCTTTGAAAACCATAAGCATTGACGAGGCATTTGTAACTATGAAAATCATGATACTCATGCCAAGGATTTACTTAACACAATCATGACTAGTGACTTCCACTACTTGTGAATATAAGTTCATAACGATTAGGTAAAACTCCCTTATACTCTAGCATCAAATTCATGCATGCAAATTAAGTGTCGACCCTCAATCAACATACATAAACAAGTTTTGATAACTCAGATAAGCAAATCACATTCAAGACTCAAGAAACAATAACTGGACATAATCAATTCATATAAAACATATAATCATGGCTTCGAATTCACCTCAAACTATAAAGAAATTAGTTCCTCATGTTCATCATAATTGAAAACCAAATTAAAATAAACATCGAACTAAAACTAAGGATAGAAAAAACCCAGAAACACCCTACACTCCAATGGCAGGCACGGCTCCTTTTGGATGGCAGATTGCACGACACTCTTCTTCTCCTTCCTTCCTTGCTGCGGCACTAGAGAGATTTAGGTGTTTGTGGTATGAATTATGGTGTGAGATGGCTGAATGAATGAATGAATGAGTGAATGAATGGATGGATGGATGCTTTTCTGCGGCATAAACATGTATATATATGATGCACAACTGAAAACCCTTAGAATTAGGTCTAGGGTTTGGTAGAATTCAGGTGGGAAAAGGACTAGGGTACACCAAAATCTGAAGGGAAAATGATTGCAGGTTCTAGAGCTTCTAGAATAGGGAGATGCGCCACCTTTCTAGGAATTCTAGAAAGGGTGGTGCATTGTTTGGATAATGTTCCATGTTTCTTGCTCTTTCCTTATCTTCTTTGTCTTGAACTTGTTTCTCCAGATTTGTAGCATGTTCCTAGCCTCTTTTGACTTCAAATTCATCCATCCACATTGCTCCATATGCAAGCTATCCATTCCAAGCCCAAAACTGCTCCAAATAGCTCCAAAATGCACTTTCTTGCCTCTTTTGCCATTTAATCCTACAAACACACGAAAATAGCTTAAATCACTATAATAAATAGAAATTAACTATGCAAATGCAAGAAAACAAGCTAACTAAGTCGCATAAATATGCTCCTATCAAGGGACTGCATCCAAAGTCTCCCTATGAGAATAGTGGTGAATCAACATCTTGAGCTCTAACTTGCAAAAGGTCATATGTCATTCTTTCACAAGGTCATATGTCAATTATAATTGTCACAGAGACATTTCAATTTCCTCCTGACCATAAGTCTGGCTTCCACACCAGCAGCGGGTTTTGAACCCAAGACCTCCAGTTTTTAGTTTTAAGGAAGCCTCGTAATTCGCCCTTTGCCACTGAGCCACTAGCTTGTGGTTTGTTATAATTAAGTTTCTATATATTATTTTGCCTAATTACTTTCTCTATTTTTAATATTACCATACATAATGTGCTTAATCTTTACTAATTAATAAAATCCTCTTTGTTAACCAAAAGAGGGTGAAAAGACAAAGTAGTACTCTTCTATCACAAAAAAAAATGATGGGCAATAATATAATTTCACAAGTCCAAATTTTACTGTTTTTTATTGAAACCTCACATACCGGTGATGTTAAAATACCTCTAATATAAAAAAAAAAAAAAAAAAACCGAAAACAAAAACCTCCCCCCCCCCAACAATGTCTCTCTCTCTCTCTCTCTCCCCTTCTCATTTTAAAAAAATATGTGTTCATACACATAAAGTGTGTATGCAAATGTTAGTTAATTCTTACGTTAGATTCTGCCAGTTCTTTTTTTTATTAGTAGCACAGGGCTCCGGAGAGAAGAAAAAAAACCACTCTCTCTCTTCCCCTCTTCACTCTCTTAAACACTCCCCTCGAATTAATTTGCATTTCTTTTCTCATCATCCAAAGACCGATAGACGAAGACGACAAAGGGGATTCGAAATTGTGGAGAGATATCGCTTCGCCTATCTATCTATTTAGGTATATATATACCATTCTTCCTCGATGTTTCTTCATTAATTGTCTAGCTAGGGTTAGGGTTAGGGTTTTTTTTTTTCCTAATAAACTCTCAAAATTTGGCTCTTGAACTCTAATTATCCTCAGCATGGGTTAAAGAATAATTGATCATCAAGAAATGGATTAAATTTAGGGTTAATTACGTTTTGATTAATTATTTTGGTTTCCTTAATCCCAATTCACTTACATAATATATTTTATCGTGCTCTGACGATTAGATTCTGTTCTTGTTAATTCCTCTTTGCAGTTTGTTGTGACAAATCAAGTAAAACCTAAAAACAATGTCGTCAAACACTCATTCACCGTGCGCTGCGTGCAAGTTTTTACGGCGAAAATGCACACAAGAATGCGTGTTCGCCCCCTATTTCCCACCCGACCAACCTCAAAAGTTCGCAAACGTTCACAAGGTTTACGGTGCGAGCAACGTCGCCAAGATCCTGAACGAACTCAATGTTGCACACCGTGAAGATGCGGTGACATCATTGGCCTATGAGGCGGAGGCTCGTCTTCGGGACCCGGTGTATGGGTGCGTTGGTTTCATCTCAATCCTCCAGAACAGGCTCAAGCAAGTCCAGACGGACCTCTACAACGCCAAGAAAGATCTGTCTGCCTATATTGGCCCTCAGGCAATGATGATCCCCGTTTTTCCTCCGCCCCAACAAACAGACATGAACGGGTCTGTGCCTATGTTGGGGGTTTCCACTGGCCCTCCGCCCCAGCTGGGCTGCGGTGGAGGTCAGCTTGTGATTCGCGACCAGCATCAGCAACAATTGTTCGAGGCTCATCAGCAAGATCTTGTGAGGTTCAATATCAATGGTATGGACACCGCAGCGAGTTCAGTTACTGGAAATGGGTTTAATCAGATTCCCGCAGCTGCTGCTAGTAATGGTGTGGTGTCTGGTTCATTGGGTTTGGGTGGAAATTTTGATAACAACCATTATAACCAGATCCAACAGCAAGCAACTGCACATCATCAGAATTCCCTTGAATATCAGCTTCAGGCTCACCTGATGCTCCAGCCACAACCGGCGGCCGAGCAATCGCAGCAGAAATCAGAAGGCGAGGAGAGTTGAGATTCTCCCTTGCATGCCTTCCTTCTTCAATAAACAATTTCCCATCCTTGGTATGTACTATGCAGAACACTTTCTTTATTATTTATATATTGACAGAATAAAACTGTACCAATGAAAATAAAAACAAATTGTTTTTGAGTCTCCAAAAATTTATTTTGTACTTCAATTTTTTTAAAATACAAAGGAAATTTGTATAGAATGAACTGTATGATGACATGTTTGGACTGTCAATATAGAGCTCCAAAGCCAAAATAAACAAGGTAAAATTCTGGTTAATTTTTCTCGTTTGTGGTTCTCTACTTGTTTTATTAATTTGTATTAAGTGATTGGGGTCTTAGGTTTAAGTTTGTTCTTCAGAAAGTGCTTCCACTATTATTTTCTTAAACTTGCAAATGTTATAATGCTTTGAAATGCAATTTAAATTAATGTTCCACGACTAAACTAGCAACCATTTCTCGATTATGTATGATTCTTTTCGGGAGAATTTAATTGGAATTATATATTAATTCTTACTGGAAATATATCCATTGCTCTATTGCATTATACATATACTTTCGTGAGTAACGCATCATTTACATGCCAAAATACGTGTGATAACATTTTTGGAGTGTTAATATAACAGCTCCAAAGCCAAAATAAACAAGGTAAGATTCTGGTTAATTTTTCTGTTTGGTGGTTCTGTACTTGTTTTATTAATTTGTATATATTAAGTGATTGGGGTCTATGTTTAAGTTTGTTCTTCAGAAAGTGCTTCCACTATTCTTTTCTTAAACTTGCAAGTGTTATAATGCTTTGAAATGCAATTTAAACTAATGTTTCACGACTAAACTAGCAACCATATATCAACATGCTTATATCTTTCTCGATTATGTATGATTCTTTTCGGGAGAATTTAATTGGAATTATATATTAATTCTTACTGGAAATATATATTACCATTGCTCTATTGCGTTATACATATACTTTCGTGAGTAACGCATCATTTGCATGCCAAAATACGTGTGGGGAAAAAGTGACTAGGAATATGGACTTGTTACTTTATTTTTCTGAAAAGTGGGAGTTGAATTAATTAGTAGTTAATTGTTAGGTATTTAATTTGAAACTAATTTATAGTTTTAAAGACGATGAGTGTAAATATCACAACTAATACTCGTTGATTTTAAAAACACAAGAAATAGATGCAAGAAGGATACCAAACTAGTTCTAAAACTTCTTCAAGGGTTTGCTTGGGATTCATGAGCACATTTGATCACTAGTGTACGCTTAATAAGTTTGTCTCATTTATTCAAGGTCAACTTAAACTTGTTCTAAAACTTCTTCAAGGGTTTTCTTGGGATTCATGAACACATTTGATCACTAGTGTAAGCTTAATAAGTTTGTCTCATTTCTTCAAGATCAACTCTTTAATTTCTTTTCCATTTTTCGTTTTTTTTGAGAGAAGAGTCTTTCGTTCTTGGTTTATTATGGTGAGAAAGTTTGTTTCTGTAATCTAAAGTCTATTTGCTGAATATTGTGTATTTTTGAATTTGTTTGATGTAAGTTTGATTTTCGTTTAATCACTTGAGTTAAGTATTTTTTGCACTTTGTAATTTGTCTTTTTTTCTATATCAAAACTTGTAATTCGACTTGTCATTTGGCATGTATGTAATGGAAGGGCTCCCACATAAACCAATCACTTTCTCTTGACATTATAGCTGCCCCTTGACATAGACACTCTCTCTTCTTACCTTTGATACATCGATCTGGCTAGTCTTCTTGACAGAACTAGCTCAGACAACCACACCCTCCAATGTGAGAAGATCACAAACTCCCTTGTGTTAAAGCCATATGACCAACTTCAATGTCTACACACACATACACATACGAAACTCGAAATGAAATTAATTGCTTATCAAGAAATAAATTAGGCGATACTAATTTATTTTGTGTTAAATCTTAATATTATCAAAGTAAAATACTAACTACATTGGAAATTTATTTACCAAAAAAATAAACTACAATAGGAATTTACACCTACGCTATTAGATGTACTTGCTTATAGTTTGCTCATTTTTTGTCCTAGTGTAGTTTCCTAAGGGTGCTATATGTATTGAAGGAGAAATTCTATATGTAAGGGGGCTCATGTACGTAACTGTTTGAATTTGCCATACAAAGGTTTAATTAGGGTTTAGAACTGTGGATCTTGTAACGCAACTTAGTTTTTCAAGACATTGTTGTTAATTAAATGATTATTGTTTGACTCATTTCCTCTCTTTCCCTCCATTCTTTGCAGTTTAATTTGTAAGTCCAGCTCTAGCGCAGAGATGAAGATACAAATATACTGAAAGAGAACTCCATATATGAGACTCAACGAAGATGTGCAAGTGTAGCCAAACACTATAAGTTGATGAGGGATTGGTTTGAGCTTAAAGAACAACTCGGTTTGGTGATGTGATTGAATTGTAAACTTATGTTCGTTCTTCAGCAAAGACTTTCTTCCGAATTACATCCTCCTTCATTTCCCAGTTTAATTACTTGTCGCAGTGCTTGGGTTTTACTGTTTACAATGACATTTGTTATTATTGGTAATAAGCAGTAGTCAATTGTTGTAGTAGTTCTTAGAATGTGACAGTCGTACTGTGCGTTCTGGACGTCTTATATTTACCAAATAAGAAACCGTCATCATGTATTAATTTCTCGTTTAGTTATATATGGAGTATCTGAATATCTTTACACTTTCTTGTTTCCACTTTTACATGTATTAATCAACTCTTTCAGATAAAAGCTCGATCTGAACCCTAAACCCTTAGCAAATGAACTTTGATGATAATAGGATTGGAGGTGTCAAACTTTCGGTTTGGCGCTTGTGATAACACCTATCATGTTACATTCCGCTCTGCATTAAGTTCATCACTTTAAAAAAGTCATCGTGCACTCCACTTACTGTATAAGAGAAAATACAGCTCATCCATGCTGTGTTTAGAAGGATAAAGGGTTTAGTCCCTGTTGAATTTCTACTAATACAGAACACCCCTAGACATGTCTAGCAATACATGCTGAGGATGGCATCTGCATGCTTTTGGACCGCCTTCCAACCCATGACTACGTGTTTTTCTTCCACAAGACTTGCACTGCACAACGCAACACATGTATACCTGCCACCACAGCATGAGTCATGTACACACGACCTTAGGCATTGATGGCCTCCAGAAACTTGCAGTTCACCTCGTTAATTACGCGGGTTTCATCACTTGGAGTTGGAGCCTTGATGCTACTTGCCAATGGCGAAACCCTAAAACAGAACAAAGAGAAATTCCTCGGGACAACAATTTCAAACCTTTTGTCCATCCCCATAAGCCCTTCAAGACGCTTGGCCATTTTTACATCACTTCTAATAAAGTTTCCAGGTTAAGAATAATGATATGTCTTGTACGTCCAATGGTGTGCCAAATTTCTCGTCCACTAATTGCTGGTTTGGTTATTTTGGTTGTTAAGTTGGGTTATTTTTCTCTGGCTATGGTTATATCACTGTCAATGACAATATGATATAGCAGCAATGAATTCCGAGCTTCTACGTTCATAAAATAAATTTTAAGATTTAGAAACAGTTCATTTACCTCAGTTAACTACATCAACTACATCTTGACTACTTTACTAATCGTTCAAGTTATGGCATGTCATCAATATTATTTGAATACAAATCTACGGAGAATCCAATTGAATCCTGTATCTCTCACTCTTAACAAAAAATTCTACACTTTCGAAGCCAACAAATATATTGCCTACATACAAATATACTCATTGGAAGGTTGACACAAATTGATTTGATACCGATCTTTATCAAGCACCATGCATGTACGCCCAGTTTCCCAGTTTGCCCCAACCATGGCTGCCACACACACACACACACAAAAAAAAAAAAAAAAAAAAAAAATCACACCACATATGCAACTAGCTATTTATTATTTCATGGGGATATAAGCACGTCAAGACTGTCTAATAATTATGATTTTGTTAGACAACAAAAACGGCGGAACCATACATTCTTAAAGGCGTGGGATATGTTATTTTGTTTATCTTATCAAAGTCAGCCAATAACATCTGAATTGAATCATTATTATTATTGAAACACGTAATTAACATGATTTATAATATGAGTTTTGTTTATAAAATTAGAGAAATTAAATATGTGGGAGTTGTTTGGAGTGGGCTGAAATGTCTAAAAACTATTAGATGATGAGCTGTATATAAAAATATATATGTGAGACCTATGTGAACATGTCATTATGCTCTTAGAGATAAACACAAGGTTTCAAAAATTTAAGTTGTTAGACAATGAGTCAAGCGTGTATGTTAAACTAACAAAACATTGTCTAGTTATAAAATGATCAGTATTTCCAATGACGTTATTCTTTATAATATGACACTGCAACACTTACCGGTTCTTTTACAACCACTTTGTTTTAGTCTTGTTCATTGTTTTGAAAACTAAAAATTGAAAATGATTAGTTAGTGCTATATGGCCGAGAAATCCTGTGCATTTGGGCGGAAAAACAAGGCAAACAAGTAGGCCAAACATTCAAGTTCTTAATCAACTGTCAAAATTTACATGTTAATTAAGCACTACATAAAGATTTAAGTGTATCATCTGATGATGGTTGCATCATCTCTACTTGAAGAGCATGAGCTTGTGCTTCTCTTGTAGGTGAAGGTATGTCTTCGGGGTCTCGTTTTGGTTTAACCCATCTCCCATGAGCGTTTCTTACTAGCCCCTTGTGTGGCAATTGATACCAACACTGCGGGATTTTAAGATCATCCACCAACATGTCGCATCCCTTGTTCACCAAGGCAATATCCCTCCTAGCATTTGATCTAAAAGTAGTTTCTGTACTAAAAAACCCATCCACAAGATGGAGGTATGTCTCGAGGCTATGAAACCCGGGCAGATTGAACCCGCCACGCTTGAGATAAGGCGAAGAACCAACTTCGAGCTTCAATTCAGCTCCAACATGTGTGTAAACCCAATCCAATGGTCCCGTAATATCATCAAATTTCTGAAGACTCTCATTCAAAACAAGGCCTGGCATTTTCGGAACCATGTCTTGTTTAACCACAACCCTCAATGTCTTGACTCCCATTTGGTGTAGCTCTTCCTTGAAGGCAATGTTTCCCACCCTAGGGGCGCCAAAGGAAATTACGCTTATCGGAAGGCCAGGGAGTTTTTCGGCAGCTTCATAGGCATTGAGCAAAGCCAATGCACCTCCCAAGCTATGCCCTGTGATTGTAAGGCTCACTTCTTCACCTCTTGCTTGGTACAACTCCACGAGCCTAGCCACTTCTTTCATGACTTGCTCTGATGCACTAGACCTGTTGTACCTTGTGGTGTCACTCTTGGCAGTGTAAATCCATGGAAACCATGTTCCACTTTGGCATCTCCACTCCCAATTGGCTCCAATTTCCTTTGTATATCCTCATACCACTCTGATGGCGCCACGGTCCCCCGCCACGCCACCACAATGTCCCTCCTCCCAATCCTCCTAGTCTCCTCCTCATCGCTCACGGCAACATACCCCATCCAGTTGGAATGCTTGCTCCATGTGTCAGCCAAGTGTGACCTCTCCAACCACTGTGGCATGTCGATGTGTGACATTGCATAAATGTATTTGCTAACATTGTAGCCATTTTTGTCTAGACCCAACACATCAAAAAGCTTGTTTTTGTCGTACCTGCAACTCCCACAATACTCGGAGAAGGAATCGAAATCGAAAGCGTCATACGTTGCTTGTGCAAACTCACCATATTTGACAATCTCCCTTCTTAGCCAAGGGTGGAGAGGGTCCAAAAGACCCTCCCAATCATTGGACCAGTGGATTTTGCGCCATTTTTCGGATATGATGTCTTTCGGAGAAGTTGTGGGAGTTGAATGCATCTCTTCTGTGAACAGATGCCAATTATTAGGGTTAATGTTGGTTCTTTTAGGAGTATCTATGTGGAGGTGAAGGAGGTTGGCTAGGGATTCAGCTAGACGGTTGGCTTTGTTTGATGTCTTGGTTTGATGGGGATGGTCAAGAACAGCTTCTTGATGATGACTAGCTCGGATTAAGGAAAACCGGGTTGCAACGGGGGCGGCTTGAGCGGCCGGAAGATGGGTGTACATCATAGTTGATAGCGCCATGGTTGTCTCGATTTGTTGATGCTGCTCAAATTTCCAAGCAGACAGCCGGAAAATAGGGGTTAAGCTCTTGTGGTAGATGTATTAGGATTGACTATTGAGTGCTCTACCGCTGAAGCTATGAGCTCGACGAGTTGGACATAAAGCTCAGAAGATGGGGGAATTGAGTTTGGAATGAGATAATGAGGAATTGAGGGATGAATTATATACAAGCAAATTGGAATTAAACAATGAACGTGTCACTCGTGGGACAAAGACTACAACATGGAAATATGCGTATGTTTGATTGACCATAGGTATTTTATTTAGTATTGTTCTTGTTGATGGAGACAAGTTCACATGCGGGGAGTATAATCTAATATGTCAAATCTCCAAGCCTCTTCAAGCTTAACCTTGCTCAAGGAGAAATTATCAAGACTGCCACTCCCACAATGGTGCATTGGCTGTAGACACGTAAATTTCAGTGGCATTTGGTAATTGTTTGAAATAACGAGGGTAATACATATAAAGATCATGTAAACTTCAAATTTAGGGACAACATTATTAAACAAATTAAAATAAAATTAGGCATGGGGTAGAAGTAGGTGATGACTTTATTGGACTTTCAACACGTAGTTGTGGATTCAATTCTCAATTTTCACACTTCCTTCTAGCTAAAAACCCACGAAATCTTGTTAAAAACATGTGAATTTAAAGTAGAGGTTTCATGTTGAAGAAGCCGTTAGAATTATGATTTATTGATATATTTTTTTACTTTAAAATGAAGATGTCATGTTAAATTTTCATTGTGTCTTATATAGATGGTGAATTTGATATCTAGCTATGATTGATTGTTAGATGACTTAACCCAAATAACAAAAATAGAAATTGTTTTTGCACCAATATAAAGTCTTCCTCATTTATTTCACTATTGAGGAATACATGATACTTTTTGGAATGTAAATACATAAAACACTAAATTGCACCCAATTGTTGGTTACTACTATTGCACCCGGCACTAACAGTTGATTTGCGTGATTCTTTTTTTCTTTCTATAGTTTGCTTCAAATAAAAAGTATTCTTCACTAACATTAGTGGTTTACAGAAGAGGTGATGCTATCTACACACTTATTTTTACTCTCGCACCGCTCTTAATTTTCAGTAGTCGGATCAAATAAATTGAAGAAGACTAAGAAACAAAAATTAACAAGAGTGTGTGAATAATAATAATAAAAAAATATGTGAATAGCACTACCTTATAAAAGTACAACCAAACAAACAAAACAAGAAAGCAAAAAGCCATTTGACCAAAAAAATATATATATATATGGGACCAAGAAAATTGATCAAAAAAACAAAAGAAAGCAAAAAAGTCATTCCAATTTGTCAAATTTCAATTTGCTCAAATCATCTTCCCAGCAAAGCAGGCGCAGAAATACTCATATCATTTTAGTCGACACGTTAGCAATATTTTGAGTAAGGCTTACCGGTTTGATCCAGGCAATACCCTAATTTCTTAATCCAACTAGCAGTCTTTTAATAAGCAATAAGAACAAAGTAAACGGGAAATTTTGGTTTCCTAATAACTTAATCCAATTTAATCCAACTAGAAGAGTTCAATAGGCGATAACGCAAAGTAAATTGGAAATTTTGATTTCGGTATAATAGTCGATGCAAGTGCTTCCTATCGACCATATAAAGAGGGGTTTGGGGGAGCGAAAAGTGCAATCGCACATGCCCTAAATTTGAATTAGTCCCTCATAGTTTTTTCCATTTAAAATTTATATGCAATAGTGCTATACATTAAAAATTTTGCCTTATTAGCATTTTAAAATTTCATGCACTCTTTATAAGTGTATTTTTTTTTCTCTCTAAATTTAAAAATTTGGAGTGTACAATGAAATATTTGAAGTGCCAATAACAATACCATAAAAAAACAATTTGTTTTTTTTTCAATTTTATTATATAATAATGCTATATATTCAAGTCAAATTTTAAAGTTAAGAGTTTTTGAAGCTTTTTTATTCAGTTTTTTAAAATTGAACTGCTTTTGATTATTTAGTGAATGTTATGTTTGTAGTTTTATTTATTTATTATTTAATAGTATTTGTAAATTTACAATCAGTGAGTCGTAAAATTTGTTTTGCTATAAGTTATTACATGAGTATTTTAAGGAGCCTGCTTTAAAAAACTATTTTAAGGAGGTGCCATTTATAAATTTTGCACAGACCCTCGAAATCTCAGAGATAGCCTTGCAATCATACAACTTAATTTATAGGATCCAAAGTTGATATTTAATTGTTAGAAATCGGATCCAAAGTTGATATTTAATTGTTAGAAATCGGATTACGTCCTTCAGCTCATCCCATCCACCATTCATTTTTAGGGTTAAGAAACAAAACCAGCTCTTTGTGCATGCCGCAAGCAAGTCCAATGATTAAAGGAATTAAGGAAGAGGCTTGAATCACAGTAAAATTAACAAGCACTTAGCTGGATCGAAAGTCAAGGAATAGGCGCAGTTTCGCCACAAGAAGTTCGTGTGGTCCGGAAGGAGGCTTGCTGCTAATGATCCAGTCCTTCTCAAGAAAGCCCTTTTAGCATTGGTTGCCATCTGATCATGGGAAGCCGACACAATCTGGTAGATCGAGTTCCTCAGAACATCAGCAACAGCATATGCTTTTGAATGAAGGGGGCCGGCTCTCTTTTTACTCATGCCAGTATTTTCATGCTCGAGTTTCTCAATTTAAAGCCTGCCATGCTCGAGTTTCTCAATTTAAAACCAGTTGACCCCATGAACTGATTAGCAGACTGCAAAGTGGTCTTCTTCCCCATGTATGTTTCAGCAGCAAGAAGGCAAGAAATCCGCGTTTACATTACAGCAGCGTTACTATCAGTGATCTGGGCAACCCCATTTCTGTCCTCTTTGTGTGAGCGAGCATGCAGTAAGTGAGGCAGCTGTCCACGCACACCATGCATATAACTGCATTAATAAATAAATATATATATATATATATATATATACATACATATATAGTAGGGTTTTTTCGATTGTGACAAAAACAATTGGAAGTTATTCCAAATATTTAGTACCATTCTCTCACATGCAAAACTGCAAGTTAACGCCAATTAGCATACTGACTATCCATTTGTGACGAACTGGCTCCTATAGATAACAATTAACAATGCCAAAAAGGAAAATGTGACAAAGTCCATAACCAGAGAACAATACTAAAATGTTAGAATTTCAGAATTCAGATAGAAGTACTAGCGCAGAATGGCAACTATTTATTATTTTATGGGGCTAGAAGAACTTGAAAACTATGTCTAATAAAATATCTGTTATCTAAGTCTCTTAACATTATTCGCATTTAGTTGATCCATAATTATGATTTTGTTAGACAAGTCATTATGCTCATGGAGATAATTGCTAGGTTTCAAAAGTTTAAGTTGTCACATTGTTAGACAAGTCATTATACCTGAGTAGTGTTTAGTAGTGTTGTCTAATTGTCTACACTATATTTCGCTGCTGCCTAACTTGTATCGACTACACTCTCTTTTTTTATTCTGGGTTTTAACTTTGGGCTATCATAGCCTTTATAAGCATTTTGTTTTCAATTTTATTTTCATTTGTTTGAAAAACTGAAAATTGAAAACCATTTTGGTGGTACTTCAAATTTGCAAAAAAAAAAAAAAAAAAAAATTGACAACCTAAAAGTGAAAGTACTTTTTTGACTTTCAAAAAGTAGTTGTCAAAATATGGTTTCAATTTTCAATTTTCAATTTAAAAAAAAATGAAAACTAAAAGCTGAAATAGTTTTGAAGCTTAGTTTAGAAAACTTTCTTCTCAAGTGTGCCATGTATGTGTTTGATCTGATCAATATGCAGAACTAGGTTCCCAATTGATGATGTGTCTAGCAATTTGGCTTAGGGAGTTTAAGCATGTCTCCGAGCCAATCCACGACTATCTTTCAAGCTCAGTTGCAGTTGGTAATGCTCTTGCCGAGAAATCCTGTGCATTCAGGCGGAATCAGGCAAGCGTTTTCAGAGACAACCAATAGGCCTAAGCATTCCAAAATTAAAATGACGAAGAACAGAGTAAAACACAGAGATCATGGAGGATGCTTAAAAAACAAGGCAAACAAGTAGGCCAAACATTCAAGTTTTTAATCAACTGTAAAATTTACATGTTAATTAAGAACTACATAAAGATTTAAGTGCGTATAATCTGATGTTGATTGCACCATCTCTACTTGAAGAGCATGAGCTTGTGCTTGTGCTTCTCTTCCAGGTGAAGGGATGTCTTCGGGGTCTCGTTTCGGTTTAACCCATCTCCCATGAGCGTTTCTTACTAACCCCTTGTGTGGCAATTGGTACCAACATTGTGGGATTTTGAGATCATCCACCAACATGTCACATCCCTTGTTCACCAAGGTAATATCCCTCCTGGCATTTGACCTAAAAGTAGTTTCTGTACTCAAAAACCCATCCACAAGATGAAGGTAGGTCTCGAGGCTATGAAAACCAGGCAGATTGAACCCGCCATGCTTGAGATAAGGCGAAGAACCAATTTCGAGCTTCAATTCAGCTCCAACATGTGCGTAAACCCAATCCAATGTGCCCGTAATGTCATCAAACTTTTGAAGACTCTCATTCAAAACAAGCCCCGGCATTTTCGGAACCATGTCTTGTTTAACCACAACCCTCAATGTCTTGACTCCCATTTGGTGTAGCTCTTCCTTGAAGGCCATGTTTCCAACCCTAGGGGCTCCAAAGGAAATTACGCTTATCGTAAGGCCAGGGAATTTTTCGGCAGCTTCATAGGCATTGAGCAAAGCCAATGCACCTCCCAAGCTATGCCCTGTGATTGTTAGGCTCACTTCTTCACCTTTTGCTTGGCACAACTCCACAAGCCGAGTCACTTCTTTCATGACTTGCTCTGATACACTAGACCTGTTGTACCTTGTGGTGTTACTCTTGGCAGTGTAAATCCTATGGAACCCATGTTCCACTTTGGCATCTCAACTCCCAATTGGCTCCAATTTCCTTTGCATATCCTCATACCACTCCGATGGCACCACGGTCCCCCGCCACGCCACCACTATGTCCCTCCTCCCAATCCTCCTAGTCTCCTCCTCATCGCTCACGGCAACATAACCCATCCAGTTTGAATGCTTGCTCCATGT